GGCTGAGTAAACCCCAGGGTCTAGTGCGGCTGGAAGGGTTAGGTCAACTGAAAAAAATCTAATGACCTCATAAAACAAATGAAAGCATCAAGTGGCGGTTCTTGCTAATGGAGATGCAACGTTCTTTTTGTGAAATAAACGTGTATATATTTTCCAGACCCTAACCGAAATATTATTGCAGTTATTATGGAACCCGAAGGTTTATTACCGTCTCCAACAAGACACGCCACTGGTCCCTATCCTGACCTTACCTCTATGTCCTTCATCACTCCTTGTAACAGTTGGAATTTAGAATTATTGCCATGTAGGAGGGACAGAAGACATGACTGATTCGTTGATTTTTATTGCTCTGTGAAAAATGTTATTTTTATTTGTGTCAATGGGCCATATGGACCTGTGCATTCAAAATTTTAATATTCAGTTTAGTTATAATGGTGTACAATGTTTATTTGTTGTCTGTTTGCACCAAGATTGCAAATAATTTCACAGTAAACACCGATAAATTCAAAATGGAAAAGATTAAAAAGAGAAATGTTTGTTACAGAATGTAAGAAGAAGAAAATATAAGTTTACTACAAAGTATGGTATTTCTAAATCCACAATAAAACAGTAGGTCTCTATATTTAAGTTAAGAATAAAAATATAAAAGGAACATAAAATCACAGCGGAACAATGTTGACGTCACGATTGCAGCTCTCGTTTGTTCGTTGCTAGGCTCCACTTATCCTTCACGCAACCAGAAATTCGTTCCGTCTGCCTGTGACAATTTTCATTTTCAAAGTTATAGAAAAGTAATTGAAAGATTCTGTAAATATCAAATTTATGCCTCCACTTCTTTCTCTCCCTCCTTCTTTTCTTCCCCCTTCTTTGTCCAGTCCGGTTTCTTCTGCTGAAAACAAGAAAACAGAAATGAGCACACATTTGTACCTTGCAGCAGCAAACATGAGCAAAATAGGGGCATTCATGCGTCATATGATTGTCATTTACATAAACCGTACGACACCCACTAAGAAAGAAACTAAATTTACAGAAATGAGCTGATACGAACCCATTATATTGCAAAATGTTCATAATCTATACCCACGAGAATGAAATCTCTGACATTCTTCTCTTCTAAGCCTACGAAATCTTCTCTCAAATTGCATGTATAAGCTATGGCTTCATTTTGTACTGTATTCGTTAGAAGAAATCCCTCATCTACTTATGAATAAGGATGTTTAGAAATCTGAACATACTGAGGGTAAAACTAATGGTTCTTGTGACTTAAAATATCTGTTACAGCGAACACTCATGGCAGGCGCTGATATCTGACAGTTTGCCATTATGTTTCTGCTAGCTCCTTGCTCGGTTCACTGTTTAAAACGTGACGATAGAGTCGATATTTCCTCTAAAATACAGCGTTATAACGCAGAAGGCCATATTCTTCGTATATTTTGTGAATTGATTTGGATGCTATAACATCTCCCAGAAACTTTATTTCTTACACGTTTCACAGCTGGCTGAGAAAGCGTATTCATTTAATTGATTATATGAACATTTGTTTATCATTACGTCATTAAATAATAACGTCCTTCTACAGCGTGCCCAATTTGGGAAAGAAATTACTTTGTTTTTCCTGTGAAATTGATTTTTCTGTGAATCTTACTGTTTGCACGTAACCTACTGGACTGCAGGCTTTGAGGAATAGCTCGCTTCAGAGTTTCTAAAGTTTTCAGTCCTTTCATTGTTCTGTTTCATTGTTCAAATTCATTGGAATTCAAGCGAATTATTTTTGAGTTGTGCAAAATTTCATAATTATAAATCAAATTTTCAATAGCGAATACACTACGAAATAGTATTGGTAGTATGTATATTCCTTTAAAGTTTAATTGGATAAATTTATAATTTAATTTCTAATTCTGCGCTTACTGAATAGTGAAGGTAAATGGGTTTCAAGTTCAACAATTAAATTAAACCTCTGTACCTAATAGTAGGACTAACTGTGTAACAGTTATTCCAAGTCACAGAACTCTTATGAAATTACAGGCCAGATTGCTACATTGAACTAGGCAATAGCTACGAAAAGTTACATAACAAGTGGAAACACACATTATGAAAGACAGGAAAAAGAAGAAGTTAAAAGAAAACACAGTAGGGAGAATTAAAAAGTGGGCTACACAAGTCGAGGACATTTCTTGCACAACGGCCCCATATTTTCTATCACTGTTTACTACGTTCTTAACGAGAATAGAAATTTTAGGGCACTTGAGAGCAAGGTGCAAGTTTTCCGGTTTCATCCCACGCTGTTTACTGGGCAGAACGCTTTCTGTGGGGACAATATTTCGTATTCCTACTCAGGGCGAAATTCAAACGACAAGAACAAAACGTTATATTTAAATGAATATTTTGTTTCACTTTCGCACAGAAATATTTTGTGGCAATTATTAGAATAAAATATAGCAAAGCTAATTGTTGGGACAAATATTATTAAACGTCTAGAAAACGTTTAGAATGGAGGAAGGTGACTGAAAAGCTTGGCAAGATTTCGTTTTGGTCATCAGCTTCACACCTGCCGTTCCGACTGCTCTCACCGCCATCTTTAGTATCAGCCAGCAGTCAGCCAGGTGGACCACTTGTAAACCAGTTCGATCTCTTTCGTCCGGTTCTCTTCTCAGACGGTTTCTCAGGCTCCTTGGTAACGGTTTGTAATTACGCAATAGTTATTACGCTACTTCAAAGTCTGTGTTGGAAATATAATTCTTCACATTGTCACGTGATGGAGTGACTATACGTCGGATTTGGATTGGTAATCGGATATATTGGACCCTTAAAACTCGTAACCACATGTAACCACAACGCTATCGCTAATTCACACGTTACAAGTCACTAAGCAACGCACTAAATCTTCTTAGTCTTCGCCTGTCATTACTTTGTAACGGCTCTCATTGCCGTAGATTTCTCACTCCGTCCGTTCAACGGCCTCTGTACTCGCTGTCTGGCGGCTTTCTCGCATCTCTCAAGGCTCCAAGTATGTTTCCATCTTCTAAAATTCACGAAGCTCTTCGGTTCCCGGTACACAGCGTTGGGGCGGACACCACAGAAAACATCACTTCCAACATTTCTTATTTTGTTCCGTGTGAATATCCGTTGCCAAAGTAGAGATGTTTACCGAGCGATTGCCCATCAATGGCAGTTTCTTCTGGTTCCAGAATTCTGACTTAGAATCCGATTGGTTTCTTATTTCTAATTGTTTCAATATTCCGTCGTTTATTTTCTGGTCCACGTAAGTGTATTTAGCCATTTGAATCATGAATGTTACTTCAGAAATCGTAAATTTTGTTTCGTCTATTGCTTCCACTCCTATCATTACTCTTCCACAGGCGCATCCATGGAGATTAGGATTAATTTTCTTCTGCAGTGGGATCCTAGATTTTGACGGTTTGAAAATTCTGTCGACCGGCAGCATTAACCAACAAGCAGATGCCTTAGTGTACGTGGTTTATTGGTTTAAAGAAGTTACAGATGTTAACATCTATATCTTCTCCCCTTAGTACTATAGTGACATGAATACCCGTTGCTAGGCAACGACAGCGAAATAAAACAATTAAACAACGGCCGTTACTAGGCAACAGCCTTAAACAGAAATAGAGGAACAGCGTTTTAGGTGCGATCCGTGCCGAGATGTTATAAAAAGAACAGTTAGTTATGGGTTAGCTAATCTCTGATCGTGGGTCTCAAGGCTCTTGAAGCCAAGACGAACTGACTGGATGTAAACCGTCATTCGTAAAGTAACTCTGACTCTACGATCAGTTAGTCAGAGTCAGTCAGTCAGTCGAGAGTTGCTGTAGCCGAAGTCGGGGATAGTTCGGGGACCCAGAGGAAGAGGAACGCCCTCCGTTGGCAGCCGTTACCAGAAGACTGGTGAAGACACCGCAGGACGGAAAGACTTAAATATGTGCTCTAGTGAACTGTAAAGTGTGTGATTAGTGAGACGGTTATAATTACTTGTAGTCACGGATCTGTAAGAGTTCAATAAATCCAATTACCAATTCAAACCCCGTCTGTAGTCACTCAAATACGTGATAATATATAGTTCACACCCAATATGAGGCTGAAATGCTATATTCATGTTATCTCATATTTTATTATTAGTTTGTTCAGTTTATAAAATAAAATTTGTAATTGATCTTCTGATTTTGACAGATCACTCAGAGGAACTCAGTGTTTGTGTAATTGTTGATATATTTTGTTGACGAGTGTACGCGTGCGTGGTGTACGCAGTGGTGAACAGGCAGAGGGGGACATCGTTTTGGTTTAAATGTAATTATTATATTTTTATAATGAGAATTATTAAAGAACTGTATGTAACGGCTACCTTATCATAAAATATTCTGCTTATTCGCTCACAAAACGTAATTATGCCTTTTGCATAATTATCGCAATAAACAACGATTATTTTGAAATATTGTGTTTTTGGACTTTATCCATCGTCCTGGTTTTTAAGATAACAAATAAAAACACGACGTTTCGGAAACTGGGTCTGTTTCCGTCCTCAGGTGAAGGAAAACACCTATTCAGTTGGGTCCGNGTGGGAGCCATTTTTAGAGTTCAGAGGTTTCGTTAAATATCATTCTTCATTTCTTATTTTTAGCCCTCCGGCTTAATTAGTATAAACTACTGTCACGTGTATGTGTGACTACAGAAGGGATTCGGATTGGTGACTTGATATATTGGCCACTTACATATCGTAATTACAAGTAATTATAACGCTATAGCCAATCTCCACACTTTACAAATCATTACCTCACGCATTAAACCTTCTCAATCTGCTTTCACTGAACATTTCCTGATAACGGTTCTTAACAATGGAGATTCCTCAGATTATGTGCTCACGTCGTTACTTTCCGGCGAATGTGTCACAACTGAACCTACTGTTTCAACTAACTCGCAGAATGGCGGCCATCTGACACAACCTCCTAGGCTTCGCTTAACAAACTGGCATACAACCGACTGCAACTCAACTGGTGTCCTCGCTATATAACCCCGTGGCAAGGACCGCTTAGAAAACACCGTTTCCAGAAGTTGTTCTGTTATTGCGCATGGGCTCATTGCTGTGTGGCCCTGCTCGTTTCACGGTCGCTGTCTAGTAATGGTTCTACATGCTACAACATATTCATATGCTTCCATGCTGTTTATTGAACTGTTTACCTGGGGCGTGTCGCTTTTGAGGTTATGGAAGCTTATTTTAATAAATACTCGGCGTATGGCGCATACCAGTGAAAATGAGATATACTTATCGATATATCTGCACGTTACTTCAATGATGGAGGGCTTGGACACAGGGACAATATTACAATTATGTTGACGTATTATCATGGGAACGGTAGCAAGCTTCAATTTGTCTTTATATTGAAGAATTTCTTTCTTTCGGTGCAGTGGGATTTCAGACAAATGCCAAAAACATCCAATTAATATTAGTTTCACAACTGATGATGACTTTGGATCTATTTCGCTATTTTTAAAATTGGTACATTCATTTTATGCAATGGGAAACAGTAAGATTATTATAGATATTAATGTTTCTGGACATTATCCATCGTCCTGTTCATATTACAAACATAGCTTTTGGAAGACTGGATTTTGTCTCCATTTTCAGAAGACAGAATCCAGTCTCCGAAACGTCCTGTTTTGTAAAATAAACAGGATGGCGTTTCTAGATAAATACGGGACGATGGATAATGTCCAGAAACATAATATTTGTAATAATGTACCGTCGTCACAAATTTTAGATATTATTTATGTAAAATTATGTGATTTTGGTGTAGGGATTGCTGCAGGGTAGAAATCTCACCTCTTCAAGGCGCATCCCATGCTGTCCACTACTTAGGAACTGGACTAGTGTAACTGGTCGTTATGTCATAATTGAAGGCTCATATACTTATCTGAAGACCGCCGGTTCTTAACTTTTCCTTTTAACTTTGCTGGTCATGCTCCGCCATATTGTTATGGCGCATGTGTTCTGTCCAGCTCGCCAAGTGTTGCAATTTTGCAGTGTTATAATATGAAACTTACTGTTACACGCGTGTGAAAAATAATTTCACCAGTCCTGCAGAACTGGTAGATGTAAAACCCAGTATTCTTGCAATATAATCATAACAGAACGTCAAACTAAATCAGTTTTGGAATAAAGAGAACTACAAAAACTTCTATAACATCTATAAACTCCGTCCATACTGCAGAAAGATAAATCATATGTTAAAAACACTCGCAGCCATATTGTGCTGACGTCATTCAGAAGGACGGACAAAATTTACAACACAAAGACATCACAAAATAAGGAAAAGACAACAAAAACGTATACACAGATAAAATTAGATTGTAAAATAGTGACTATGAGTAAGAAAAAGACAAAGCTATGTAAAAATTGTGTGTAGGTGTGGACTGTGACTGCATTTCCGACATAAACAAAGAAAACAATCAAAGTCCGTGAGTAATGAAGAATTTAAAAAAGGTAACTTGTTAATGGTTTATGGGACAACGTAATACACGTGTCTGTGATACTGCGTGTGTTTATTTTTTCATCTGCCAATCCGCCTTTTCTGATTTCTTGGGCTGTGAAAGAAGTAAAACAGAATGAGACACAAAACATTAAACCATGTAACAAGAATGAGCACCAGAAACACATTCTGACAATCATGTAATCTTGCAGCAAATATTAATCAGTGTATGAATTTTAAGAGTTTGTTTGCCTTCATACATGCTTTAAAATTTGGGAAACTCTTGGTTTCGGAAATTTCGTACTCATTAAAGAAATAGTGTAAAATCCTACAATACAAAAGGCTTTCAAGCAAAATTAATAGTTTTCAAAAAACCTTGTATCTTCTATAAGTAAGAAATCGTACGTGTGACGTGTCGTTGCGACAATCTGGGTAAGATCAAAGCCAGAGACGTTTATATTGGATGTACTGCGACCTTCATTATCCAAAATTAACTTTCAAGTCCACCTAAACATTTTCAGTATACACAAATTGTTCTACCAAAGAAAACTGAAATTTCTCTATAGATGTTTAGGAGAAGAAATATGTGGACAGAAGGAAAGTCATAGCCTCCGCATTGTACTTTGGATTCTTAGTTCTTTTTAACGGGCTCATGTTCGTAAACCTGATGAATACGGCAACGGAAATGAATTACATCTTAATGTGTCAAATTTCGGACGATTCTGCCATGTCCGCCGATGGCGCTAGCGCTCCACGGCGACGGGTTGCAACGTATCAGACCTCTGGCTGTGTCTGTGTGTCTGTCTGTGTGTACTGTCTGCTGTGTGGGGATACACTCCCCAGGGTGTCCTCTTCCTCGAGGGTGAACTCCTTCTTCTTAACAACCTTGAGCTGATTCCGGAAGTTGAACTCAGCTGCTTTCTTCTGCAACTTGGCGAACTTGTTCTCATACTTTGACACCTTCTTCAGGGTTGGCTTTTGGCTGTATAACACAAGGTAAATCTGGATGTTAACGACGAAGCATACGTCCAGACGCCACTAATATTAGTCCAATCGTATTCAAGGCCGTTAATTTCGGTTTTGTAGACCGGATATCTGTAGTAAACAGTTCTGAACGATAACATTTCCATTTCAATATTCGGCCTTCAGTCTAATCACAGAACGTTACATCGACATATTCTTTACGAACCGTAATATGGCTACCAACAACTGAAGAAAGAGGAGCCTGAATAAATGGCATATGCTCTCTTAGCAAATAATTTAGGATCTGACAGACAATTTTACCTAACTACTGTCCTTGCCAAATTTTGACTTACAGACATAGCCAATTGTGGTTTTAATTCAAGTACGATCCACACAGATTGACTTAAATGAGAAGCTCTGGAAAGTAAAGTAGACAATGTATGACACAAACTCCGTCCTAAGTACAAAAATTTATTGTAGTTCTTTTGTTTTCTTTTCTTCTACACTACATGTTTCGGCCGTAAATGACCATCATCAGGTGTATACTCTCACGTAGCCGTTACACTGCACGTAGTTTAAAATTTAAAAACACCAGCTTTCTTAATTGTTCATTTCTCCGTTGTTAATAGGTCCCGATATATCAGAATTCCCCTGCTGATATTTGTCAGATATGTACCAAATCTTTGTTAATTACATATGTCAATTTGATTTTTGAATTTTGGTATTTTTAAAATCTTCAATTTAAATTTTTTTTTTAATTTTAAAATTTAAAATTCAAAATTCACAGGGATACCTGCTCTAGGCTTATAATATTGTAAAGCAGTCATATTCAGACTTTGTAAATAATGACCTACCAAATGAAGCTAGATTTGAAGTCTCTTCAGAATTATGTATACAGAGCGAGAAATAATATTCTAATTTAAAAACTCTTAACACTAAAGTCGGGCCAGGGAAAGAATGAACACAGATTCTCCTCTACATGCTTACCTAGCAGCTACGTCCTTTATGCTTCTCTTCCCCCCACACCCATCCGTTGTCATTTGCATTCTTGACGTCGTTCCGTTCTGCGACTCACTTTTTGAGTTCTCGTTTTGCTATTGGTGTTAATGGAAGGGGTGTGTGAGATGCAGACTGCGTACCGAAGCACTGCTGTCTGCTTTAATCCCCACTTTCGGTGTTCATTCTTTTTCTGACTCGATAGGATTAGATACTTGAATACTAATTGTATTATTAGCAGGAAAGTTTATAAAGTTCGCTAAAATTAATAAGGAAATAGAACAGAGTGCATAGATACTCACAATTTACCGCGCAGGTCGTTCACTTGGCTGTTTAGGTCGGAGATCTGCGCAAATAACGTTACAAGACATATTAGTTGTTTGGTGGAATGTAGCGTGTTTCTTGTGTTTGCATAATTTTTAAACAACATTATAAAACATATACTGAAATCGTATTTTTGCAAATATATTTTTATCGTTTTCGAAATTATTAAATCTGAAATAAAAGTAACTTTGTACTGAAAATTTCTATAGCATATTTAACTAGAAGAAATGTAAAATTTCAAAGTCACAGCAAATATACCACTGTATGAAATCTAATCTAGTGGTTAGAAAAGATCGTGATTTTCACTTCTGTTGTTAAATCAATAGAGTTAGTGAAACATTCATGTTCTATCATGCCTAATGCGCATGCGTGTGACAAATGAGGTTACTCTACTAGAGTCCCGCTGTGATTTGACGGTCCCTTGAATTGCCTCTCAGAGCCTTCCGCCGCAAAGCAACACCAGCAAACAGTTTGTGTTCTTCTGTTCACGTCCTGGCCGCATCCTGACCGCATGTAACACCGACAGGTGACATGTTAAATTCTTTTGCCCCCTCTGAGGCTCCACTCGAAAGGCTACAGGGACCATCACATTGCAGGGTGACTCCAATGCTAGACTTTAAAACAAATGCTGTTAAAATGCAGTTACTATAAGGTTGTGTGCCGTGGACAAGGAAGGGTGGCAGAATCTGAGTAAGAACACGATATGATGAGACGCAATGCTAGTCCGATAACACACAATCAAACTAGGAACACAACGACAAGCGTCAAAACTGACACATGTTGCAACACAAAAGGACAGAGGCTTCAAGAAATGGACAGTGCTTTGCGGCACATTAATTTCTACCTGTTCCTACTTTATCAGGAATGGATGATATCAAGATTAAGCTCTTCTTAAATGTGATACCTTGTAGTTTGGCACGCGGGTCTCAACATTTCGAAGACATTAGCTTTTTTCCATTCTCCATCATAACTTTGAAAATGGAGACAGCAGATTGATTCGAATTGTTGATAAACTATACGGCGTCACAACCCTGAAGATCTTAATTTTGAAACTTGCCACAGTGAGAAATTCAAGTTCCAAGAGAATTTTGTTCTAACGCTCTCAGAGAAGAGAGGGCTACGCGAAGCGTTCCCAGTGCCGTGAATTATACACGTCAGAACGCACTGTCCACTTGGAAAGATGACAGAAGGATAAGATTTGACGTGTTGAATGAGTCATTTCGTGTACTCGTTTCTAAGAAATATTTTAGTATAGTGTATTATGATGTGGTAAATTTCCGGACAGAACATTGATGTCAAGTTCCTGTAGCCTTCGGGTATAGAAGTCACATACAACAGAGTGGGAAACAGATGAGTGGTTTGTTAAGAAGACAGCCACACTGAAATCTACCAGGTGAAAGGTAAAGCTATCCCTGTAACAGGCAGTGAAGACCTATAGGAGTGTGAGAGGTCGAGGCTCCGAAATATTCAAGAAAATCGGCTCATAGATGGTGGTAAGGTTGTCAGCCTTACGCGCCGACCATCTTTACTCCTCAAGAATCTTCCTGGTACTCATTTCTGTTAGAGGCTGAGTCGACCCCAGGGTCATATTGCGGCTGGAAGGATTAGGTAAATTGAAAAAAAAAATTCAATTACCTCATCGGGAATCGAACCAGCTACCTTCCGACTTGTAGCATAATGTATGAACCAACTACGCTACCGCGTGCCCCGAAATCAACCAGGAAATAATTAAATATCTGGCGAGTTTGTTAAGGGACTTAACACATCCCTGCAAACTGAAATGGTAACCAAAACCTATCACTGAACTTCACAAACAAATCTGCAGTGGCAGGTGACTCACATTGAGTGAACAATGACTGTGTTGAAGGCACGCGACATTCAGGAGAAATTACTTGCTGGTAGGTTACAGAGAGGCTGTTACGATAAAGAAGAGAACAAGCTAACACGGATACAGTGTTCCTTCGTAAGTTTCAGTGGCTTTCTCAGAGAGTTAAACCGGCAAGAGCTATCTGTGGAGTTAATTTCGACATCGGGAAGATAACATATTTATTTCTGATCAGCTGATTCACACGATAGCATTAAAACTTCGCAGAATATCGTGGTTTCTTTTTCACGGCCATGTAATATAAAATGCTTAATCGTACTCCGATATACACTAACGTAAGAGAATTGCGAATTTAAGCATCTCTGTACCACGGACACAGGCGTTCCGAACAGTAGCACAGCTGCTGGTCCGATCGCGTATAGATTCTTCATTCGCTACTAAAAACCTTCGACGCTCTCTTGTAAATAAGTTAAAACAGATTATTTTAAGTAAAATTACTTCTTAATGCTAGTATCTAAAATATGCCTTTTCGTCTCTTGCGCAAGAGAAGAATTTTGATCGAAATCTCGCGAAATCTAAATAAAAACTAAAATCCGTGGCTTCAGTCCTCAAGCGAACTGTACCGACCGAGAGACCACCGCTTGTCGGCGAACTTTGTGCCAACTTTAGCGGATGGAGGGTGTCGCGTGATCAGCGCAACGGATCCCCATTTCCGTTAATCTCGGTTTTCTAGACCGTAGCCGCTATTCCCTTGAAACAACTCCTCAATTTTCCTCACGAGGTTGAGTGGACACCGTTTCAGACCCACCACCTCTTAGAAAATCTGGTAACGCCGGAAATCGAACCCGGGACCTGTGGATTTGTAGCCAGGAACCCTGACCACTAGGCCACAGAGGCGGTCTAATTGTGAGGTCTTATTGAAGTATTACTTCTTTATTGCTAGTGAGGTGGGACTAAGTCCCTTCTACCGCGACCCCTTGAGGCCTATTGTACCAGCCCCAGATGATAGGTGAGGGTGATTGTGGAGCAATTGGTGGAATGAAGATTGACAGGAGAAATCGAAGTACTCGGAGAAAACCTGCCCCAGCGCCACTTTGTCCACCACAAATCCCACTTGACCAGACCCTGGATCGATACCGGGCCGCCGCGGTGGGAAGCCAGCGATTAACCGCTTGAGCTATGGCGTGGCCCTCTTATTGAAGTAACTAAAATATTTATTTTCGTGCCTATTATAATCGAGAACAAAATACTCGTACTTCTATAGGACTATCAGCTGCGCCTTAGTATACATGTTATACACACGGAGCCCTGTAATTTCATGTGGAAGAAAGTTTTGTTTAGGTATTATTGATAATAAGACACTTCATCGAATTCTGCTTTTGTTCCATATTCCATTGTCCGCTGGTCGAAAAACCACGCGTGTGTCCGGAAGACAAATCTTTTATGAGTTAGGGAATGTACGCACAGCATAATGAACACTTAGGCTTCGCAATATCGAACTTCATACAGAGAAACTTAGGGGTTCGCGAGTTTCAGGCGTACAGCCGGACAGACGAGGAAAAAGATTACGAAATGGTCCTACGCCCTACCAAAAACATTTACTCAGGAACAGGCGAAGTAAAATCCTACAAATATCAATTACTTCGGTCTCAAGTCAAAATAATATCACAGATTATGCGCATGCGAAATCAAAAACCGAGAATAATAATAATAATAATAATAACATAACTTTTGCAGCTTCGAAGTAAAAACGGCCCATATTAAAGTTCGTTCTCAAAAACTGGGAAGGAACACAGGGGCGTGTTCCGCAAGGAAGATGCCAGCTCGACGTCCATTTGTAACTGACGCCAATTTGTTAACTCGCAAGTCCGCATGTGGGCTGAAAACGGACGGAGGTTAACTTGACCGTGACAGTGGTCAGCACTGTCCGTCTAGAAGATACGCCTGTCCACAGCTACGTGTGTACCCCTCGTGTTGCTACCTGCGGCAAACACTGACGAAACTAAGACATACTGGTACGTGGTCCGGAGGTTGCTAGCTTTAGACCACATGCCCCGACGTTTCGGGTTGAAGAGAGGATGCGAAAAGAGCACTATATCCTTGCGCCCGCTTTGGGGCGAGGTAGTTCACACGCAGAAGGGGCCAGAGGCCCTTCAATGGGAAAGCGACTACACATGTATAAATTTATTTCTGAATTCAAATTGGCGAATCATGGCTCTTCTCATGATTCACGTGATTTATTGTTACGTGATGGCCGTGCCATAGCTTAAGCGGTTAGTTGCTGGCTTCCCACCGCTGCGGCCCGGGTTCGATCCCGAGTCTGGTCAAGTGGGATTTGTGATGGACAAAGTAGC